ACGAAAACATTCCCAAATTCAAAAGTATCTTGCAATCTGTTATTACAAAAAGAAGAAAAGATTTTTTATTTTAAAAATCTACAGTCAAAAATGACGTCTTCCAAGAAGAAATCAATAAACAGCGCGAAAAAAGATGCTTATCCTTGACTGCAGAAGGAGTTGGAGCTGTCTCTTCTATAACAAATTCAAAAAGTTAAAAATATAAAAAACAAAAAGTTAAAGATTCGATCAGAAAAGTATTGAAAAACGTTTCTTTAAACTGGATTTGCATTTGTGATAAACACTTTATTCAACATTGTTGCAACTCTTGAATCAGTCAGAGGGGCAGCGGAAGCCCGTATCTGACAGGATGCAACTTTTCTTATTGCTATGGAAATTTTCAACTTTCTTGTGAACAGACTGAAACAATGAGATTTAACTCTTTGCATTGCAATGAAGAGTGTAATTTTGAGATACTTTGAAGCGAGAAGGCAGAGCTATCTTGTATGTTTGTACAATTCTAATTTCTAATCCAGAATGTTTTTTCGATATTGAAGAACATGAAATTTTCAAAATACGCTTGAAATCTGTACTTCAAAAAATTGCCGGAAATTTGGTGTCAAGGTTTTTCCGAACGAATCTAGATGACTTAAAATTTGTTCAAGAAGTGAGTGGCTAAGAAAATTTTGACTCGAATCCACTCTTACTTTATAATGACTCGAGGAAGCAATTTATCATTCGACTAAAAAACAGCACCACAATTCAAACGACGCACAGTGACTCAAATTGAAGAAAAAACGGCAAAAATTATATAACCATCGCATGTTAATATGTATTAAAGAAATAGTTATTATTTTTTTAGTCAAAAGATCAATTACGTATTTTTAAATTATTTTTACGCGCAACAACCAGCAAAACGTGCGCGTATCTAAAAAATACGTACGTAAGAAATTTGATACGCGCAAGCAGATTTTTTTTTTAATTTAACTTCGAATCAAGTAATAGTTTGCATAAATACATAATTTATTTTTAAATCTTTTTTTAACTCTCTCCAACTTGTAATCAGGCGTGATCACTCGGTACACTACCATCCAAATTTGTCATAATTATTACCGGGCCCCTCCCCTTTTGTTAAAAACAATGATTGAAAGAACTTTAAAAAAAATAAATAAAAAAATTCATTCCTCAACAAAAAGAATACAATAAAATTCATTGAGCATTACTATTATAACTATTTCAAATTTTAGTTCATAAAATAATTTATTTTTAATTATTTCAAATTTATTTCATCAATTATTACCCTCCTCTTTTGATAAAAACAATGATTGAAAGAATGATAATTAAAAAAAAATTCAGACATCAACAAAGAGCATATAATAGTTATACTCTGAGAATTAGAATAAACTTTGAAAATTTTTATTATAACTATTCTAAATTTAAATTTTTGATGCAAATTTATCTATAAAAAATAAAATTCTCAAAAAAATCACGACTGTTTAAGAAGAGAAAGAACTTCTATTGGGAGCAATTTCCCATTTTCACATCTATGGTTAGTGAATTGAATGCTCGATATAACTGGATCACTCCTTATCATAAGATAGTTAAATTGGTTTTTCATAACATTTATCCTTAAAATTTTGCATGAATGGTTTAATCTTGTATTTCTAATCTCTTTGTTAAGAGCCTCTAGTGATTCTTCTGAATAAAAAAATAAACTGAGTAAACCATGTTCTAAAAGTTTGTGAACGCTTGGAGGAATAACATACCAATTATATTCAGAAAGAATTTTATCTGTTGTATCATTGCAATAACTTTGAAAAGAGCTTGGATCTAAATCATATCCTGAACAAACTGCTTTTAAAATTGTTTCAAGTCTAGAAATGATGTCAACATCTACACCAGTTATCTCAGAGGCTCTTCTGGCAGTATTACCATCATTAGTGTTTCCAAAACCTTGTTTTGGCATGTCAACAATAAGACTTAGTTCTTCCCTAAACTTCTTTTGAATAAATGCTTTTCTTTCTTTAACTGATTCTTTCTGCTCAGATGTTTTAGCATAAAATGACCTAATTTTCAATTTATATCCAAGGTGAAGAATGAACTCAAAGCATCTTATCCAACAGTGAAGAGGTGAAAGGCCAAAAAATAAAGCTTCTTTATTGACAGGTTTAGATCTAATCAATTTAATGTCATTCATCTCTGTTGGGTTTGCTGAACATACATTACAGCTTTGAGAAGAGGTAGTACTTGTCAGTGCATTAATAACCTTACCATCAAACATAGTCAAATCCAAATTATACTTTATAATTGCTGTCATCATAGATGACTCAGTCGGTTTTGATTCTAAACTTACTACAAATGGTTCAAGTTTCTGAATTTCAATCCGTAATCGTTCTTCTTCTTCTTTAATTAGCACATTTGTTTCCTTCTTGTACTGCAAACATACTGGTCTGCAGAAATGTGTACTAGATGGTTTTTTGTTGTACCAGATTACTGTATCATTAACAGTCAGTTTAAGAGGCACAATAGATGTTTGGAAAATACTCTCTTCATTTTTAATAACTTCATCTAGAGTTGTATCTAAATATTTTTGTTTATACAGACTCTGGCTAGACGCTCCATCAAAACCACCTTTGAAATGCATAATTCCATGTTGATTGATATCTTTAACCGATAATTCAGAAAATATTTTGTTGCAACTATTTAGACTCAAGACTCTACACAGTGTGTGATTAAAAAGAGATTGAAGGGAGCAAACTGCAGATGTTTCTGAAAAAATCATATTATCAGGATAGCATTTCTTTTTTTCAGTTAAAATTTTATGAAGAGACGGATAGATGTTTGCATTTTGTAATAGGGAGCTATTTCTGATTATCTGATATTGTTCATCGGACAGATCACATTGAATTTTTAGGCTGAGAGCATCTTCAACTTTCATTTTAACAGGTTCATGCATAGACATGTTTTTTCTAATTTCATTTGCTTTATCTGGGTCCAAAGCCTTCTTTACTATAAAGATAAAATTGTTTTTATTAATGTTGGATTCAGTTGCAGCACTTTTTAAAGAAGCTAAAGCCAATGCTTCATGATTGTTTTCAGCCAAATGGCCAATTTTAGCTCTTTTGCTTCTTTCACCAAGATTTCCCAAACTTTATTTTTTCTACCTGGACCTTCTTTAGATTTAATTCTTTTAACAAGATCCCGAAAAAACTCCTCCTGTAAATAGAAACTTAATTAAATAAAATGAGTGCATAAAAAAAATTTATTAAGAAATATTATTGTTTCTTTACCTGTAGCCAAACACCCTCTTTTAAAATCAATCTGTCATAGTTTCTATTATGCTTTTCTAACTTATTTCCCACTTTTGCTTTAAAAACAGACAACTTATTCTTTAAGTTGGTAAGCTCTGATTTATTGAAGTCATCTTCATGAAGATTATAAACATTTAAAACTTCTTTAAACAAAGATTCCAGCAAATTAACTTTATTGAAACCTAGTCCTTTAATTTTTTGAAGAAGATCAATTCTTTTCATTTTTATATATTATCTATTACATAACACACAAAAAGTTATCAATAGTTTAACAATCTTATTGTCATTTACATTATAACTTAATAGCTACAAGTATTTTGAAAATCCATATGTATATATAAATTAGTAAAAAATTACTAATCAAATTTTTTTATATTTTACACTGTGTTTCATCAATAAAGACTCATCAAAATGAAAAAAAATTAATAAGTGATTTTCTACTAATTTATTATAGCTATGCTTTTTTAAGAACATTGAGCACTCTATTTTGTAGAATACAATTTAAAATATTTGTACATATATATATATATATATATATATATATATATATATATATATATATATATATATATATATATATATATATATATATATATATATACAAACTAAAAATATTAGGTAACGCTGATACTCTTTTTTTAAAAGAGCTTATATTTAAAATAATTAAATAAAATTTACTTTCTTCAATTTGCTCCAACCTTTTATCATATACTCGCTGGTTATAATATTTAGCAAGTAAATCATAAAAGCTCTATTTTAGATTGGAGCAAATTGGAGCAGGTAAATTTTATTCCATTAAATAGTATATTGCTGACAGTACTCAAAAACACTAACATAAGCGTGGAGTTATGTGGAACTTTTGTTCTTGTACCATAAATAATGTGTTACTAAAAAAAAAAAAAATTTTTAATTAAAATTTTTCTTCATGCTGAGTAATGGCTTAAACCTAATAAACTTAAAAAAAAATCTTTCATTTACATTGTGAATTGACACAATTTAAGTAAATTAATAAAAAATTAAAAAAAACACTTTAACTACTATGTCTCCATAAAATAAATATCTAAAACTGACTATTTTGTCGAACATTTCCGTTTTTTTTCCGTCATAAAAAAAGCATTAGTAAAGTGCTTCAAATTAATACACAACCTTGCAATAGCTTCAAAAAAAGTTTTAAATTGTTATGCATCTGGTCTTACCATAATTAAAACTTATTTGTGTTTACAAACTAAAGACTTTAATTTTTTTCCTTTTTTGCCACTTTTTAAGGATCTTGAACCACTGTGCGACGCATTCAAAGTAATTTTAAAAGAAATTTTGATTTATCAAGCTACTATAAAGAGAACTGCTAATCTTGAATCTATGTTCAATGCAGTGGAGACTTTTCAACAAGTATTGAGCCTGAGTGAGGTTTTTCTGGTGATGGACTTGTGACAAAAAGAGGATTCAGAATAAATGACGACTTACTTGAAATTTTTAGTTGATACGGGTAATTCTAAAAAACTTTAATCCAATGAGGGAATATAAAGTCTTAAAATAGCTTTAAAGCTCTATAATACATAATTAAAAAAAACGGGGAAGGGGGTGGGAGATTTTGATTTTATAAATTTTAATTTATTTATGTTTTGAGGCCGGTTTACATATTTTTTTTTTTAAGTTTTAATAATAAGTTTAGTTTAATGGATGCCCTTGCATATATAAAATAATTTCATATAAAGATAAAAATTCACATTTCTTTTTTGCAAAATAAAAAATTTATAATGAGAATACTCTAAAAAATATATTGCAATTCGTTACAAACATTGTAAACAAGCATTATGCTTTTTTAAGAAAAAATATACAATAATAAAATTACAATTTTTAATACTTTAGACATTGAATGCGATTAAGAAAAATATTTAATATACATATTTAATATAAAATTTCCAAAATGCTAATGCAAATAAAATTTAAGGTAAAGAAGCAAAATCCCTTTTCGGTGCAACTCCTTTTGGTCGTTCTTTGTCCTTCATTGCAGCCTCAAACTTCAATATGCTAAAATAAAAGTACAAAATGAAGTCAGGTGCATGTTAAAAAAACTTGAGTTAAATTCTACAACTATAGTTACAGTTGATGCAACAACACCTTATAAATAACTTAGAGCATAAAAGATGTAATTAAAAAATGCAAAAGATGTAATTGAAATTACGCACATTGTATAAATTAGGAAACGTAAGTTGAAATCGAAAGTATGTAAATTGTAATTAAGTAACAAAAGACGTAATTGAGAACATGAAAGTTTTAAAAGATAAACACAAAATGTAGTCGAATAAGTAAATTTTACTTAAGAAACGTATTATGTAATTACTTAAGAAACGTATTATGTAAAAAAAAGACTATGACATAGAACGTGCACGACCACCTCACATTATTGTTTTTTTTGTTCCAGTAATGATATTTTGTAAATATTACATCCTTTGCTTCATAATCCCAGCACTAAACACAGGTGGAATACAATTTTTATTTTAAACGTTACTTTTAATTTCGGATCAGATTATTCCACTAAGTTTAATATTGGACTACAAGGTCCAATGCTAAACGTAACAACTAAGTTGGTGAATTTCACCACACTTCTAAAACATACGTGACAAAGAGGATTGTCTGCTACCAAGACTAAATCCTCTAAACGATTACCGTTAATGTTACCCACAAAGGAAACACAGCTACCATCTACTCGTTACAAGAATCTCCATTAAATGATCCTCTATGTAACAACGCTTGTTTTTAATATAAATGCAATCAAATATTTGTCTAAAACCTTTTAAGCAATTATTGTTTTAGCAGCATTTTTATTATTATGCTTTTTCCTTTTCTGAAGCGATCTTACATTTTTCTACAAAAAAAGTTAACTCGTTTGGTTCAACCATACTGACGCATTGTAGAGGTCTGTTTGTGCACTTTTTTATTAAAAATATACTGCCTTTAAGGTAGTTGACTAAGGTTGTTGTGCTGATGCTTATATTAAAATCTTAATATTTTTAATATATAGTTTAGATCACAATCAAATGCCAGTTAACAATCATATTTAATCTATGTTACCATTAATTTAAATTGATTTTGTGTTAACTTTATTTTAAACTTAAATCTACCTTAAATCCAATAAAACTTGAAAGATGGTTGATGCCAAGAAACACTGTTAGTTTTTTATAATTTTATACTCTTGATTTTTTGTTTTGTTTATAAAATGTATAGGATTTATAATTATAAAAAGAATTAATTTTAAATAAATAAAATTAAACTAATGTGTTATTTTAAAAGAGCAAAAAAAAAAAATACATAAAATTTATTTTGATGCCTTACCAACACCATTTTGTGGCATTATCAATCTTTTTCTTACTATTCTCTGCTAGGCGTGGTACAACTTCCATACTTATCTGTAACAGACACAAGTTGACTTGATTTGTAAGTTGACATGTCTTTTTTACTTTTCAGGAATTCTTAAAGATTTGCAGGCACAGCATATGTATCAAAACACTTACTGTTAGCATGAGGTAGTTGACATATTTCTGACCATTTTAGAACTTTATCGGGAACATAAACTAGGTGGTGGCTATGATCAACATTGCAAAATGAATTGTAAAATTTAGTGTCATCAACATAATGCTTTAAAGAGCAATCAAGATGTCAACTACAGAGGTTAAATCATTTATATAAAGTAAGAATGTTGGATTTAATTCCCTACCCTGAGGAACTCCGCTAACAGTCCGAGTTGAACTTGATAATGAACTTCCATCCTTAATTTGTTGACATCTATTAGTGAGAAATGCAGCAATCCAATTTATCATCCAATTACCTCTTATATTAAACAAACCAAGTTTGGCTAATAATTTAGGATGAGAAACAGATAATATGTCTTTTGAAAGCCAATGTATACAACATCTGTTTTTAAATGTTTGTCTAATGCAATGGTACAACCATTTACAGATTTTAAAATATTAGTACAAGAAGAGCATTTCTTGAGAACACCATGTTGACTATGGGCTGTTCGGTTATGGTGAGTTAAGTACAAAATGATATCCGAGATAATTCTTTTTATTGTATAACATTAAGTGCATGTGAATGAAATTGGTCTACAATTATTGGGATCAGAATAAAGTTGAGTCTAATTGAAGTTGAATACACCGAATCAACAAATAAATTGATGGTATCATTATAAATAGAGTTGTTAACAAAACTATTAATGTTTGTCAAGTACTTGTTATCTTCTGTAAAATTACTTCTAAAGTGTTTATTAAACATATCAACAGTTTATACATTGCAAGACATTAGTTCAAAATTGTAGTTTTTTTTACTTAAGATTTTATATATAGTACTTTATAACTCCTTTTACGATTACATTTAAAGAATATAATAATTTTATTGTCATCAACTAGACTAAGTTTAATTCTCTTTCGGTAAAGTAAACAAGATTTGCTTGCATTTTATGGCGTATATGATGGAATTTATTTTGCGTGGATAGGTTTTCGCATATCTTACATATCGTAGTATCTTTGTAATGAAATATCTCTAAAATTGATTTACAACTTAACATTCTTTTTTTACATATATAGGGTAAAGGTGACATTTTTTACTATGATCTACTTTTCATACAGGAACAAAACCATCAATCCTAATCCAAAAATGGTTAGAGAAAATGTTCCAATGTTTTTCAAGAGTGAAAACAAAAGGAAATTAAAGGTCCCAATTAATATTTGAAAAGTGAAAAAGGTTAAAAAAAAATTAACTAACAGCTAAGAAAACTTTAAATGTTATTGTTTTTAAACCACAAAAATAAAAAAATAAATTTTTTTTTTAGGAAGAAACAATGGTGTTGGTTACTATATTGTTAAAAAAAGTTATGCATATGCAAATTAAAGCTGGATTGACTACTTCTGTATATAAATTAAATTTGTGAAGTTTATTAGCAAGAATTGTGGCACTAAAAAGATAAACAGTCTTTAAATTTTTGATAAAATTTCTTTGTATGAATTTTTATTCGATTTTTTAACTAAAGTCATTTATCATTTTGAAACACTATTATATCATATCTAACTCTATTATTTTCAAGCAATTGAACACCCCCAAAAATTTATTCTTGAATTGTCTTCTTAATTTCTGAGCAATGGAATCAAAAAAATTGTTGTGCTGTACTTTCTAGAGCTCAATATCACCATTGTAAAGAGGATTCCACCCTGATATTGCTAATTCCACAAATGAGACTTTAAAAACATTATGAATAATGCTTTGAGTAATATCCAAAAATTGAACATACAGATATACATTTTAAACATTTGTTTTGTTTTATTTGATGCATGCATTATTTGACTATGACATTTTATACTACTTAACAATAAAAACCATGTGTGTGTGATCAAACCAGCTAATATTTTTTTCAACTAATACACTTAATTGTAATACATTTTTGTTGTCAATATCATTTATTTTAGTTAATAATTCAGTATTATCAGTATTTGCGGTTTTATTTTTTAAAAATTTATCTAGAAGTAAAATAACAACTCAAAAAATAATAATAACAATAATAAAAAAATAAAAAAATTCTAATAAAGTATACTAATAATTCTAACAGACATTGAAGCTGCAAAATGAAATACCATAACCATTAACCTATTTCTTAAAAAAATGTATGATGATGCATGCTATTCTTGATTTAGACAATTTGTTTTTAAATCATTTAAAAATTCAGAGTAATTTAGCCAACACATTTCTAGATGCATTATAGACTGCTAGGGTAAAGATGTGTCTTTTTACTATATTAATTGTGATGTCAACTGTGAATCAATAAAACAAAAATACTCACAGTTTTAAAACTGAGCTTTTCTTTCCTAACATCATGAACAAAAAGTCGTTGTATGAAATTGATCCTAAAAAAAAAAATTAAAAAACCATTCAAACACAAAACCTATGCTATCATAGTCAGCATGCGTTCTTCTTCATTCCATGTTTAGCACCATTATATCTTTAATGGGGCAAAATGGAAAATGGAATCTGTAACTTAAAAAATTTTTTTTAACGCTCTTTAACAGAACAATACTAAATTTAAAAAATTGACACACAAAAAAATCAACATTAAACAACTAATTGACAATAAATGCATATATATATATATATATATATATATATATATATATATATATATATATATATATATATATATATATATATATATATATATATATATATATATTTGTACCATATTTTTGTTACATTAATCAAATATGAATTTTCAGAAAAAGAAGAAAAAAAATGAAGAATAATAAAAGAAAAGATTGCTATACCAAACCCATACCAAACCCTCAGTCAATGTAGCAGCCCTCGCTGCAATTCAGGCTGTTTGTCAGTGAATGTATGTACTGAAGCCCCCAGCAGCAGGCTATTTTAGTACAACACCAGACTGCTCACCTAAACTAGCAGTATAAGATATATTAAGATTTTATTTTAAGAAACTCATAGTATTAATATTGTTAGAAGTTAAATTTAAATTGTATTCTGATTTTCAGAACAGTAATATAACTCCATTGAGTCAAAGTCAATTAGCTGAATATTACTTTTTAAGTATAAAAGTTAGAGTTTATCAATACAAAACTTTAAAATTAATAATAATATTCATAAATCTAACCTCGATTTTCTCGATCAACTTCAGCAATCATTTTTTTAAGTTCAAGATGTGTTTTAGCTTGATCTAATTTTTCCATCATCATCTTTAATTCCATGAGATCTATATATATATATATATATTATATATATATATATATATATATATATATATATATATATATAAATTTTTAAGCATGTCATGTTGGGTCTTAAAAGAAGTAAAATTTATAAAAATAGAGTACGTTACTAAAAAATAATTATTTTGGTTTTTACTGTGTAAATAGATATTTTTTAACTAAAAATAAAAAAAGTGCATTTTTACAAGATTTTTTTAAAATTATAATCATTTTTTATAAAATTATTTTTTATAAAATTTATATTTTTTATAAAATTATTTATAAAATAATTATTTTTGAAATTTTTAAAAAACTTTGCTTCTTTTGAGATCCAACATCACAAACTTTAAGTAAACTTTTTTTTCAGCAATTTAGGTTGCAAAGTTCTGACTTTAAAAATTTAAGAAATTTGCTTATGAAAAACAATAAAAAGTATCATTTTCAAAAGTATTTTGTGCTACTTATAAAAATATGTGCCATAAAAAAAATTCAGGAAATTATATGTGTGTGGGAGGCAGGGAGAGTGTGCGTGGATGTATGTGTGAGAGAGCGAGGCAGAGAGTATTTGTTAAATAAAAAATTAATAATAAAAATGCTGCAAATAATCATTTTACCTATATCTCCAGAATTATCCAAGTCAAATTCCATAAACTGTTCTAAAATAAAAAAACATAAATATAAATGCACTCCGAACATATATACTAAATAATAAAATATTTATACTAATTATATAACTCTAAATAAAATTATATAATATTGTAAATAACCAAACGTAATTCACACAGCATAAGTAAATTAAATCGGGTTGGCTTGAATTTTTTTAACATTAGAATAAAATAATAGACTTACTAGGTAAACAGCACTCAACAAATTTAACAAAAAACATATCTTCTGGTATCTACCAACAAGTAAAAGATCACAATTTGATAGTCAAAATTTGAAAAAAAGCCTATTATGTTGCTAGTAGTATCACTCTTAAAATATTTTTTGATGCAGCAGTTTTGTCAAGGCTAAAGTTTTGGCCTTGAAAAAACTTTAGTTCTACCTTCTCTCAGCTCTATAACTTTAAAGCTGAGAGAGGGTAGTAATAGTATTGAAATAATAAAAGAAATCCTACATGACTTAAGTTTCCCCTAAACCCTATGAAGGTTAATGTATACTTTTAAAAACGTTAGTATTTAAAACATTATCAAATTGTAGATCAAAAAAGCAAAGCAATCTGAATAATTGCATTAATTTAACTTGCCTCTAACTAAGTTTTAGAACTGATTCATCTGTCAGTTGAACTTGGAAGAAACACATAATAAAATCATCATCAATATAATAATATATACAGTATAATAATACAATATAATAAAACAATAAAATAAAATCATCAACATACAATATAATAAAATCATCACATACAATCATACAATATAATAATACAGTATAATAAAATCATCACAACAATTATATCTATTTAGTTTGATATGAAATATTTATATTGATGCTGAATGAAACAGCTTTGATCCTTGATCTTCAAAGACAGCAAATACTACTTGAGGCCACCACAATTGCAAGATCTTAATCCCATTGAGAGTCATTCTTTAGTTGTTATGGCTAAAAGTACTATGGGAAGTTATCTATTTAGTTATTATGGAAATAACTTGGTAGAAATGTGCAAAAGGAGTAGCCATCATCTATAAATAATCATTCACACATATTGCAAATAAAATAAAATGCAATACAACTTGAAACACTTTGTAATTTGATTTATTATATGTTAAAGATCTGTACAGCTGTAGAAAAGAATATATTAGACTACTATGATGAATCAAAAACTTAATTAAAATATGAGTTAAAATTAGAAATTATTGATAAAAAATGTTTAATAATATTTAGTTCTTGTAAGCACAACAATTTGAGTAAAAATTAGACTTAAAAAATTCAATTATCAACTTTTACATTTAATTTATCAATTTTTACAACTAATTTCCAAAAATACAGTATTATCCTTAAACTTTTTGTCGATAGTGCATATATATATATATATATATATATATATATATATATATATATATATATATATATATATATATATGTATATATATACATATATACGTATATATATATGTATATATATACATATATACGTATATATATATATATATATATATATATATATATATATATATATATATATATACATACATATATACGTATATATATATATATATATATATATATATATATATATATATATATATATATATATATATATATATATATATATATATATATATATATATATATATGTATATATATATATCAGTTTAGCCAGCGCTTTTGCGCTTCAAGTCTTTTCGTGCTCACCCACACAGCCACAAAAACTTTGGCGAGTGCATAATAAAGCGCTTCCAAAAAAAATGTTTGTTTTTTTTAAATTGCAACAAAACATTTTTGTTCATTTATTCAACTTTTATGAAAAATGCTTTTTTTACCAGTTTTTTTTTTTTTTTAATTATTTTGTTTAATATTTATTCAAAGCATTCTTTCCGCTATTTTTATTTTAATTCAAATAGCAGAAAAAAATGATTTTTTAAAATCACCCTGGCTAACTTAAAAATGACAATCCTGCACTTTTTCATGCATCAAACAGAAAAGACTGAAATCGATAAACTTTTATGGAAATTAGCAAGACTTAAACTATACAAGCTGCCTGATTGAGCAACACAAATAATTATATATAAATCTGTAATCATCAGATGGCAGTCAAATAATATAGAAGTACTATAGCACTTATGTTTGATATTATTGCCTTTCAATAATGTATTCAAGTGTAATTTTCAATCATAATGTCTTATAAGAAAAGTGCTTCCACTGAAAAAAACAAGACAATCTGGATGAAGAATCTCATATGATTTTATGAGTCACATAGAAAAAGAAGAATTGTTCCATTAGAAGAACTATCACTTAGATAACAGCAGGATACCACTTAAAATACAAAATGTTATTTGCCAACTGTTTCTGAGAGAATCCATCAAAAAGAGATAGGAATGCATAAAGCGAATTGAGAAATGACCACGCAAATACTATTCGATTTTGAAAACATGACCACAACTGTTAATGCTTTAAAATTTTGTATACATTTTAAAAATGTGCTCAAAAAACTATTTTAACTTATGTATAAAGAAACTTAAAAAAAAACTTATTGTAAAAGAAGCAAATAAATCTTCGTAAAAAAATAATGAAAAATAAAATAACAATAACTTAACTAAAACTAAAATAAATAAAAAAATTAGAACTTAACAAAAATAAATAATAAACTATAACGATAAGATTATTTAAATTAAGTTTGGAGTAAATAACTTCAATCGTTTATCTTTACTAATGTTTTTATAATATACTATTATGCAAAACCCTTTTTAAATAAAGTAACAACTTACTTCTAACGATTGTTTAATAAATGCTCACATTTAAAAGTTAAAAAAAAAATTGTTAACAATTCTTGGCAGTAATGTAAAACAAGAGAAAAAATAATTAAATCATTTATTTAAAAAGTTGAGATAAATTTTTTTTATCTAAAAAATTTATAATAAAAAAATACATATTTTTATAAGAATAATTAGCAGTGATTTGTTATTTTATTTAAATAAGTAAAGATCAAAGTTATTTAATTCAAACGTCTTTTAAAAAAGTTTGTCTTTTTTTTCTTCTTCTAAACAAAGTCCTTCTACTTTTCAAGTGAATTAACTTTAGTGATTTTTATATAAAGTTTATTAAAGAGACTATTGCTGTTTTAAGTTGTTGTTTATAAAATTTAAACTTTATTTTTTATAATTTTAACTTTTTTTATTTCACTTATAAAAAAATCTTATATAATTAAGTAATATAAATAAAAATTAAAACAGCTTTCAATAATACTTTAATTAAAATCATTAGCTACTTTATTTAAAATCGTTTTGCTAATATAAAAACGTTAGTAAAGATAAACATATTGAAGTTTTAATTTGCAACATAACTAAAAACCGTTTTTTTCCATCGTATTAGCTAAAACCATAGTTAAATTGTCAAAACAAAATATTATTTGCATAGTCATATAAAAACTTGAAATCGCAATTCTTCCTGGCAAAGCCTGATTTACATATATATATATATATATATATATATATATATATATATATATATATATATATATATATATATATATATATATATATATATATACACTGTACATATATATATACTGTATATATATATATGTACAGTGTACATATATATATATATACATATATATATATACAGTGTACATATATATATACTGTATATATATATATATGTACACTGGATTTTTAGATGTTTGAGTTTTGACACTTACACGCATTTTGCAAACTCCAAACTTTTGTATGTTCATACTTATGTCAAATGAGAATGTTTTGCAAAAAGTTGTAATGATTGGAGCTTGGGGACAAAAAAAAAAACAATTTTCGGGCCCACCCAGCCCTTAACTTGGGAGCAACAAGTTGATAAAATAATTTCTTTAGTATTTTTATCTAAGTTTATATTCATCAACGAATTTCAAATTTCATGCTATAACCTCTTAGTTATGACCCTACAAAGTTAACAGCTCCCTCATAATTTTCGAAAAATAAGAAATTATTGGATGAAATTTGAAATTTGTTGATGAATATAAACTTAGATAAAAATACTAAAAAAATCATTTAGGGTTTTTTTGTCCCCAAGCTCTTATCAACACAACTCTTTGCAAAACATTCTCATTTGACATAAGCATGAACATATAAAAGTTTGGAGTTTGCACAATACCTGTAAGTGTCAAAACTAAAACGTTTAAAAGCCAAGTGTACACCACTGTATATATATATATATATATATATTTATATATATATATATACATACAGCTATGAGCTGGAATAAGGTAGATTTAAGGTAAAATAAGATAAGAAGATAGAGAATAAGACTAGGCAGTTATGTAAGATTAGGTGGGTCATATTGAGTGCAAGGGTGTTATATGGTGGGTGGCTTATTTAGTGGAAAATTGTTAAGAAACAGGTGAAGTTCCTTAATCTTGCCTAATAAAGGTCATCTAAGAGCAAAAAAAACTCATAAAGATTTCACATCGAATGGATGAATAGCATATCAGCTTTGTTAAGAGCCCTTAAGTGTTGCAGTCTATTACTGTCTGGAGACTTGAGATAATTATTTTTATCTTTATTATTTCAGTGCTATGAAAGTAGGTATGCTATACATTGATTTGTTATTTATGTAATGTTATCTTTAAAAACTATGTAGTCAAAGTCTCCCTCTTTAAATTTTTATCTTTACAAAAATTATTAGACAAGTTTCTTTTAGTATGCAAATTTTTACAGAACACAAAAAATCATGATCTTATCAGTATTTCCCTGATCTGACAGTCACCTCTTACTTTGATTAGAAATCTGTTTAATGATTACTTACAATAGCTAGACCTTCAAAAACTGATAAACCTTTATAAATTAATAAGTGTTATACCTATCTTATATAAAATCTCCTAATAAAAACTATTTTACATTATAACATACTAAAAATGTGGAAAATAAAATGAGAAATTATTTCGAAAAAAGTTTATGTTGTTAAACCATAACTTTTGCAAAAAAACAAAGTAAGAATTTTACTTTTATATGCTTCAAGTGTTCCTTTTAAATCAGGAAACTCTTCTTTATCTTGATAGTCATCATCACCAAGATATTGCTAAAAAAATACCACAACTTTACATAAAAAAGAAACATATACATCAATAAAAAAGATAAAAGTAATATAATAAATAAGAAAACATTTGAAAAATATTTTCCCAAGGCCTTGAAAAACTTGAAAATTTTCTAGAAACAAAAACAAAGTTGAAAAGTAATACAAATAGAAAATATACTTTATTGATTTCATCAAGAGCCAATTCTTGCTGTTTTTTCAATGCACCAAATGCTTTTCCACCTTAATACAATAACAATTTCCATATATCAAAAACGAAACTGAACCCATCCATTACACACAAATACAACCAAAGTAAACAGATATATTACATAAGAATATAAAGTAAAAACAAATTTTACTTTATAATAAGGACTCCAGAGGACTAAATAGAGTAATTAAAATTAAAAAATTCATTTTAATACAGTTTAACTGTCAGTTAATTTTAGTCAGTCAATTAATAATGTCTGTCAATTAGTCAGTCAATTAATTTAGTAATTTAGTCAGTCAGTCATGTCAATTGTCAGTCAGTCAGTCATTTAGTCAATCAGTCAGTCAAGTCATTTTGTCAGTCAAGTCATTTAGTCAGTCAGTCTATTAATTATGTCATTCAATTAACCGTCCTTTAATTTTAGATGAAAATAAAATAGTAATATTATAAATACCTTGATATTGCTGCGTTTTAGACATGATTAACTTTTAGTGATAAAATTATAAAATTCTTGAACTTAACTGTAAATTCCAACACACCTATCGTCGCTGTTTTATGGGAGTCTGTTTTAATAACACGAAATAATATTATAATAAGTGTTGACAAAAAGGGTGACTTAAGTGTTTTTAATTCTATGATAAATAAAGTAATATTAAACGGTTACGTAGCTTAAGTATTTAATTCGCCATGCAAAATGTCATGAATTCAAGTCAAACCATTATCACTTAAAAACAGCGTTTGTTTCCGGGTGTTTAGTTACAAAAGTAACAAAAAATATTGTACAAAAAATTTAATTATAGTACAAAAAACGTTATGAATTGAAAGTAATAATTTTTCCTTATTATTTTCTTTATCTAGTATTTTATAAATTATTATAAAAATTTTTTTAAAAATTAATGTTAAAATTAAACTTACCTCTTTTTTTTTATATAGTTGAATAGTTTTTTATATAGTTGAATAGTTTAAATACTTGGGAAATATTTATAAATTTTTATTAAAAATAGCCATTTATTATATTTAACTTTTCTTATTTCTTCTCTATTACATTCGTATAACTTTTCTTTTTTTTTCTTTTATTATTTTCTGTCATAAAATTATATTTTCTGCTTTAAAAATTTAATCTTACTACTCTCTTCTAGCTAATTCATAATGTGAATTAACGCCTTTATTACGTAATATCCTTATAATATAGTAAAATACATTCTTATGAAAAAAAAAATTTGCTAATAAGCTTTACCGGATTTTTTAACTTTTTTTATATTATTATAAATTGACTAGAAGAATCACTAAGATGTTTTTAACTCAATAAAAAATAAAAATATTATAATTTTACCGACTATGCGCGTACGAATCTATTAAAAAAAATGTCTGTCTATCAAAATAATAATTTTCTAATCATAATTAAAAGTTCTGTTTACAATTTAAGTTCAAAAATGTCTAAAGAAATTTTTTGTTTTAATATATAGATGGGCAGGCATATAAAGAGTCCATTTAAATTTCTGTTTACAACCTTCTTTCAAAAAAGTTTA